TTTTTTTTTTCCCAGTACAGGGTCTCATGTACTTGAACTTGCTATGTATCTAAAGCTGGATTTGAACTCTCAAACTTCTGCCTCCACTTCTCAAGTGCTGATGTTACAGGCATACTTTCATCTAACCAGACTGGCCCTGGCCCTGAAAGAGGGCTTCTGGTACAGCTGAGGAAACAGAGGTTTGGCAGGACCTTAAACTCTTGCCTGAGGTTGCTCCGCCTGTCAGTGGCAGAGCTGGAGTTCAGACCAGGTGGCTTGGCCATTGTACAGGCTACAAGCCTCTCCAAAGAGCCACCCTGTCCTGATGGCTCTGCCCTACTTCCTGTTTCTCTGCTCTGGTTAAGGTTGCATTTCAGTTCCACCCCTGCCCTTCTTTTCAGGGTGACCCCGGGAGAGTAACCTCAGCTTCCCCTCTGGGAAGGTTTCCTACCCAGCGCCTCGCCTCTTCTCCTTTCTGGCTGTGATACTGACATTCTTAGGGTACTGACCAAATCCCTCCCTGGGATTCTCCACCTACAGCTTCTCAGGGAGGGGCCTCATCATGCACGGCATGTCCTCTCTTCTCTGATTGGCTCGGAAATGGGGACCCTTATCACCAGCCAGGCCAATCAGGTAATCCTGGGACAGAGTGGAATTCATGGGAAAGAGGTGCGCTCTCAGTCAGCGGGGTGAAAGGCCAGCTGGGAATGTAGCCAACACATAACACACACACACACACACCACACAAAGGGAGTGGGGGAGAGAGCAAGAGATGGAAGGACCCTGACAGAAGGGCACCCCTGTTGGTACTGTGTGTACCCTCAAATCCTCCACCTTGTACTTCCTACTTAAGAGAGCCCATTGCCTCTGTGCTTAGCTTGCTTTGCAGAACGTGTGTCAGTCTGCTGCGACCAGAAGGTCTGATTCTTACAGAGATTGGGTTGGGGGCCTCAGCAGCCTCTGCTCTGGACACAGCAGCAAAAATACTGGCAGATGGGGAAACTGAGGCTCAGAGCAGCAGAACTATGTGCCTAAGGTCACTCTGCTGGGAAGCACTCCTGCCTGCTGCTCATACTGACGCTCTGAGCACATGACTGGGCCTTCTTCATGTACCTGGAGACTCGCTGGTGACACGGAGGCTGTGGACTGGCTGGGCCCCTCATCAGCTTGCACGCCAGAGGCCTCTGCTCTCTCCTCACTTCCCCACCAGAAGTGAGGAGTGGACTGGAAGAGGGGTAATCTTATATTGGGCTTAGGTCCCCTTCCCCATAAGGGGTAGACTTAATATTGGTGGCTATTTACTGAGCCAGGCATGGGAGGACGCAAAGATAAACTGACCCTGCATCCCTGCCCTCCAGAGAGCCTCTATGTCCCCTGGCAGACAGATGAATTGTAATGCACGGTGACGAGAAAACACAGATGGGGATAACACATCATTTCTTTAAATAACTCTTTGCTAAGTTTGAAAATATTACATGCTTTTGAAAACAAATTTTGGAAAATTTAAAAAAAAATCACTACTCATAACCCTGTCACTTAGGAGGATCTTTTGATGGCCCATCTGCTTTAGCTCCTGCCAGTCTTTTCCCTTCAGCACTTTTTAAAAATGGAGTTCAAGCCAGGCTGCCACACAAACTTCTTCCTGCCTTTATCATACAACAATATTCCATATATATATATATATATATATATATCTATTTTAGAAGACTTGGGTTCAATCCCCACATGGCAGTTCATAACCATCTCCAGGACCAGAGGACCTGGCACCTTCTGAGGGCACCAGGCATGTGCACGCTGGCAAAACACACATGCACATTAATAATAAAAAAAAGACAAGATAGGTTGTTTTAATATCTACACTGAATGCCATTGTATGGATCACTCAATTTCTTTAGCCTCTCTTCAGTGGCTGCCAGGTTGCTTCTAATGCTTCCTTAGGGAAAAGACAAATTAAGCAGAACAGGGAGCTGTCTGTAATCCCTCAGTCTGGGAGGCTAAGGAAGTTGGAGGCCAGTGTGGGCTACATATTAAGTTCCAGGCTAAACTGGGCAACAGAATGAGGCCTTTTCTCGAAACAAATATACCAGAATAGTAGCTGTGGCATAGCTCAGTGGTACAGCAGCGTGGCCTGCATGCAGAGGCCCTGGGTTCTAGTCACTGTAGCAAGAGAAATGAATAAGGATGAAAAGGAACAAGAAACTGGTACCTGCTGTGGTCCCTAAAGGAAGCTGGTGGTCCCAGAATAGAAAGGGGGTGGAGCTGTGGGTGGAGAAAGATGGTTCTTCCTCATTGATGGGCAGGTGAGTGGCCTAGGCTTTGAAGCAGGCTGTTGGCCACAGAAATTGAGAGAAGAAAGGCGAGAGATGAGAGATCTTTGAGTAGAAAGAACAGGCGGAAGGTTGAGAATAAGTTCCCGTGCAGCAGGGGAGGAGATGTGTGGTTACCTTTGTTTTCACACTTATTTATTTCTGTGTTTATGTATGTATGGAGGGGCTGGAGTCACATGCCACAATGCCCTACTGGGGACCGGTTCTTTCTTTCCATCATGTGGGTCCTAGAGTTCTAACTCCAGTCCTCAATCCTGGCAGCACGCGCCTTCACCACCGAGCCAGCTTGCTGGCCCTCATCTTTTTAGAAGGCCCAAGTGGTGAGAGGAGCTTTTCCTTCTAAAGAGGATCAGCCAGTCCCAGCTCCCCAGCGCCACCTGCCAAAAGCTCTGCCACCAGGTCAGGTGACTTTCTGTTTGGGGGCCCTTTTCTGGCAATGCATGCCTAAAAATACCCACCACCTGCCTGTGCCCCTGAGAGACAAGGCCTCTGTAAGTTGAGAACCATAAGTACCCCTGGGGTGCGGGGACCAAGAATCTAGATTTGGGTAAAGTTTGGCCCAATAGCTCCGCATAGGGCAGGGACTATCAAACCAGGTCTGGTTTGTTTGTGGTGTAGATATGGTGAGAGTAGTGGGCAAGGACTTTTTACAGGGCGTGGTGGTGTGGGCCTGTAGTCCCAGCACTCTGGGAGGCAGAGGCAGGTGGATCTCTGAGAATTGGAGACCAGCCTGGTCTACAAAGCAAGTCCAGGACAGCCAAGGCTACACAGAGAAACCCTGTCTTGAAAAACAAAACTGAACAAACAAAGGTATGTGACACCACTGCCCAGAGTATTCATTTATTTATTTATTGAATGACTGTCTTACTATGGAGCCATGGCTAGCCTAGAACTTGCTACACAGGCCAGGCTGGCCTTGAACTCACAGAGAACTCACACAATTCCAGCTCTTGGTAACCCCTCAGCCTCGTTTGACATACGTAAGCCCAATAAACTCACTGGTTCATCGAGGGAGAGTTGTATGGAATCTTTTTGGTCCACTGTGGGTGCCCGCCTGCTTGGAGCAAGTGGTGTCTGTCTACATTACCCCAGAAAAAGTTAATGCAACAGTCTTTCTGGAACTTACGTTCTCCTGGAAGAAGATGAAAAATAAGAGAAAAGAAAAAAACAATGGACACATGTTAGAAGTTAAATTTTATTGGGAGAACGGGACACAGGAATGTGTTGATTAAAGAGGGCCTGTGAGGGTGCAGCCATCTTAACTCTGGTAGGAGATACCTTCTGTCTCAGAACAATCCTGCCTCAGTTTCCCGAGTGAGGCCATCGGAGCAAGCCTTTGAAGGCATGGCTGCAGAAACTGCAATCCCAGCAGAAGGCGAAGGCTTGGAAGCTGAATGCTTACATCTGACTGAAGGGACAGCAAGAGGCCAGGTGTCCAAGGTCAGGCAAGCCCGTGGAGGGAGAATGCCAGATTAAGACCTGTGCCGACATCTGAAGATGTTGGCTTCTATGGCATGACATGAGGAACTAGTGGAGGGTTTTGAGCAAAGTGTTATAGTTTAACTTTGGTGGCATTACCATCACCATCATTATCATCTTCATCGCCATCTTGGTGAAAGGATCAAACCCAGGGTCTGGTGAATGCTAAGCAAGCGGTCATTGGCTCCCCTGACTTAGATTTTATTTTAAAGGAATCCCTCTGATTCCCACCTTGACACAGACCCGCAGAGGACAAGGTTGGAAAATCGGAGCTGTCTCAGAAGAAGTTCACAGTACCTGAGCAGAGCCTGGACCACAGGGCAGCAGTGCAGTACGAGGGAGGAGGTCAGAGTCTAGGGACACAGAATGTGCTGCCCAAGCAGGCGGGGTGGGGCAGGGCGGGGCGCGGGACGGAGAGGGGAACTCACAGATGGTTTCAGACCTCCTGGCTTGGAGACTAGAAGCAGGGATGGGGGAATGCTTTGAAGAAACTTGTGTGTGGAAGGGGAGGCGGCTGAGCCCTCTTAAGTAAGAGGCGTCGGCAGACAGTTGGAGCGGGAGATAAAAATAAACTTGGTTGCATATTACGCATTTCACTCAACTGGGTAAGACGTGGGGACCTCACAAATCAAAATGGGGTGGGGGCTGGAATGACACCTCCAGAAGTCGGTTAGTTAGGCTGCCTGGAACGAGGTGCGGCAGCTCCCCCGGAGCTGGGTGGAGTGGAAAAAAAAGGCCTCTTTTGGTGCTTTGCAGCCTCATTTTGCGCAGCTACACAAAACGCTCCGTGGAAGTCCGTTCCATGGTCCCACACCCACCCTCCACTTCGCAAACGGCCACTAGATCTCGTTTCACCTCCGGCGTAGGCGCAGATAAGGCTTCAGAGAATTGAAGCGCTAGCCAGCCCGTGAGTGTCCAGGGCAGTCTGTACCCCGAGGGTCAGTCTGTGCATCCCAGGACTGCGATGGGTGGTATTCGGACATCCGGGCTTCGGTCTCTCCCAGTGCGTTTGCGAGTAACGAGAGGGCCGAGCCGTCCTGCTGACCCGAGAGTCGCGCGTGGGCATTCGCAGAGCGCGGCCCCTTTAAGGCTCCGCGAGTGACCTCAGCGGGCGCGCTCCGGCCCCGCCCCCGCCAGCGGCGTTCCGACTGCGCAGGCGCGCCGCGGCGGTCCTCGGCGGGGCTCGGGACGCGCCAGGGGCGGCGGGGATACCGGGCTGCGGCGCCGCCTGCTCCCGCCTGCAGTCGCCAGCGCCATGGGCTCCTGAGGTACCCGGGCGGCGGGATGAGCGGGGACTGCGCCTTGGGGACAGTCCCACTCTGGGGACTTCTCGCGGGGAGGATGGGACTCAGAGGTCCCCGCGCGGCCCGTGGGTGTGCCCGCTCCGCCAGCGTGGCGGGGCCCTGAGTGTAACCGGACCTGCCCGTGGGGGAGCAGGGGTGGACGGCGCGGGACCCAGCCTCTTACCGGTGGAACTGTGAGTGCCGCGGTGGCTGCAGCCTGGCACGACCGAATGGGGCGGGGATGCGTCCGTCCCCGGTGCGGTGGCCTTGACCTGGCCGGGTGGTCGGCCCTTGAGGCGGTACACGCGTAAATGGGGGTGTGCGCGCGCTTTGCACACAGATCAGTAGACTTGGAGGGGGACAGATAGGAATCTGAGGCCCCCCAGGATGTTGGTATTCAAAGGAACCCCAGAGATTGGTTTGAGCGTGTGCATCCGACCTGTGTGTTGTGCCTATTTTCTTGGGCACGCCCTGGAACACCTTGCTTGGATAGGATTCCGGGGCTAAGGGGCCTCAGGCAGTGGCAAGGCAAAGGAGTGTGGAGGATGGGCTCGGATTTCTAGTCGGTAGCCTTTCTAGGGGGCTGTACGAGGCTGGGCAGCTCGTCCCTCCTGCCCTTGCAGGCCATGATGGGGCAAAGCAGGTGTCTGCCTGCCTGATACCTGTGTGCGAGGTGAAGGCCCATGTATTATTCATCTGACTGCCAGGTGCTTTATGTAAGGAGAGAAGTAACAATCTGTGCCCCTGAGGCCAGTGCTGCAGACTCAGCCAGCACACGCGCATACACACACACACACACACACACACACACACACACACACACACACACAGGAAACATCAGGGGAGGTGCAGGTCTCAGAGGCCTGGTTTTCTTGACACCCTGTTTGTGCAGCATCCCTCTCCTTGTCAGCAAGTTTGGTGGGCCCTTGCACATCTGAACATCTTGAGAGTTCTGTGGGGTGCCAGAGAGTTGGAACCCTGGGGTGGGGGAAGCCCCAGAAGCCAGGCTGATGCTCACCTGCACACAGATATGATGATCCTAAGCATCCAGGAACTCTCAGGTGCTTGGGCAGAATCAGACTTGGAAATAAGTAACTATAGGGGTTCCAGAAACACCAGACAAAGGCAGAGGCGTGCAGAGGTGGGGTCAGTGCTGTCTGGGGGTGAGGGAGAAACAGGCCAGCAAAAAAGAAAAAGAAAAAAAAAAAAAAGAGTTCAGTACAAAGGACAGTTGAGTCGATGTGGCTGACATTCCTCAGAGGCTTTTTGCTTTTCATGTATATTTTCCCCAGTTCATTCTCACAGCAGCTATGGGAGTATTGTGCATAGTTGTGGGTGAGGAAACTGAGGCAGCAGGTTGAGGGGGGTGGGGTGGGATGGGGATTTGTGATTCACTTGTCGGCGTGATACTGGTAGGTTCTGGGAGGGTCCGTCATCCCTGAGTCAGGACCTGTGTCTTGCCAAGTTGCCGTGTAACTTACTGTGTGCCAGGCTCAGGGCTGTCTCCAGGCCCTGCTGCACTCACCCAGTGCTCTCGTTGCCGTCCCTGGAGTAGAGCACGGAGGAACAGGATCTGGTACCTGCCCCTGGAGGCCCCCAGTCTGCTGGGGTGGTGGACACAGATGGTGACCCCCACTGACCGGTGTGGGTGAAGAGGCCCCAAATATTTCCCCAAGAGCCATAGGTGACCTGGGTGCCCTGTTCAGGGGATGGGATGTATAGGAGAAGTAGAAGAGGCTCCAGGTGGGAAGAGTGTGAGTCCCACTTCAAGCCATTGGCTGAGCTCTGTGGACCTGGACTCCCGTCTGCGGGCTGCTTTCTCCTGTTTCTCTCTCTTTCTGTCTCTCTCTCTCTTTTTTTTTTTTTTTTTTTGTCCTGTGCTGGGCCTTGGGCACTCCAGGCCGGCGATGCCGCTGAGCCATGTCCTCAGCGCTCTCCCACTCTCTGTCTTCGAGGTTTTGTTTCTGGTTGCCAGCTGGCCTGCCCGGTCCTCTCCCCGAGAGGGGCTCGGTGCTATTTCCAGTCCCCGCTGTGCTCATTTCTCTCTGTACATTCCCTGGAGTAGAAACTGTTAGGCAGGGCTGGGGACAGCCCTTTATTGTTTTGAAAAGCGAGTAGCAGCAAACGAGACTGGGGATTTGGTGTGAGCGCTGGGAGGCCTGGAGCTGGGCCATCAGAGTTCCATGTGGGGTCTGCCCCAGGACCTTGGCCAAGGCTTTTTGGGGCAGCAAGTGCTTACTGAATGCCTCCTGTGTGCCCTGAATTGACTGGTCATCAGGGAAGAGAGACCGGAGACCTAGATTGCTCCCTGTCAAAGGCTGTGGTTGCCTGAGGTAGCCCAGCATGTGACTAATACATTTGAGAGAGTGTTCTGCTTGGGGCAAGAAGTGGTCTCTGAAGGGGCCCAGAGGACAATGGGAACAGCAGTTTGTTTCTTGAGCACTTACTGTGTGCTGGGCACAGTTCGAAGCGTTTTCATGAGTTATTTTATCCTCCACCATTCAGGTGAGATGGGGCCGCCACCTTTCATATCACAGGTCAGTTGGTCCAGTCTCTGAGCCTTGCTCTTCCCCTCTGGCCTGGGTGTGTGCCCAGTGCCCTCCTGGTCCTGAAAAACTAAGGGTGCGGTACTGAGGAAGAAGAGGAAGATTCTAGGTCACAGGAGCTCCAGGCAGACGTGGAGGCCTGTAACTCCTCTCTTCTCAGAGGCTTTGGATTTGATCCTGATGTGGTCAACAATGAGCCTTTGAATGTTGGAGAGGAAGTGACACGCACAGCGCTGTGTCAAGAGGCCGTATCATCACCCTGCATCTTGCTTCCTCCATTCTGGCACATAACTCCAAGATGGCCTGCCTCCTTCCTGTTTGCTGCCCTTTGGTCCCTGGTGTCTCTTTATTCTCTGCTTCTGTTTTACGTTTGCATCTTTTGAGCTAGAGGTTGCTTGCCTAAAGGCCAGGCCTCAGCTATCCCGCTGGCCTCTTCTGCTCTCTGTCGTCTGGCTCCACTGACAACAACTGAGACTTTTTTTTTCTTTATTGAGACAGGGTCTCATGTATTCCAGGCAGAGCTTGAGTTCAATGTGTAGCCGAGGATGACCTCGAACTTCTGATCCTCTTGTCATTACCTTCCAATGCCTGGGATTACAGGCGTGAGCCCCCTGGCCAGTTGGTGTGGTGCTGCATATGCCAGCCAGGCGCTTCACCTGCTGAACCAGCCCTGAACTTGTTTTCTTAGGGATTGAGCTCCAGATTCTCCCCGGTCTCCTGGGGTCATAGCTTCTCATGGGAGCTCTGCTCTGTCACCCACGGTCTATGCTTGGAGCCTATGAACACAGGTGGGAAGGAGCAGGGGCCAGGACTGGGGCCAGGCAAGCTGCCTGTAGCTCCGAGAGGACTCGCCTGCTCTGCTTTGCCAGGTGCCAGGCTGGCTGGCATTTGATGCAGTGACTTGCCAGTCCTACCAGAGTATGCAGAGTAAGGTGGCATCCCTTCTCTAGACTGAGACTCCATCCTGCTGAAGTGCAGCCCTGGAGGAGGTGGGGGCTGGTGGGCTGAAGGATGGGAGCATCAGAGCTGGGGGGAGAATGCCCAGTTGGGTATTATCGGTTGAGAGTTCAGGAATCTGGGCCAGCAACATGGCTCAGTGAGAAAAAGCACTTGCTGTACAAGGCTGATGACCCAACTTTGATCCCAAGAGCCTGTGGCGGAAGGAGAGAACCAACTCCTGAAAGTTGTCCTCTAATGTCACATGTGTGCCGCGGCACTCACGTTCACACATACACACACAAATACTAATAGTAATAATAAAACTAATTTTCAAATTAGAGACATTGTAAACTCATTGAAAATGCTGGAGCAAGAGAGAGGGAGCTAATGAGCTGAGCAGTTCCCATGACCTGGAAAGAGAATTAGGAATTGCAGGTCAAATCCTTGCTTTTATTAGAACTTGTCCTTGGGCGGGTTGCTTGCCAGGTTATAATTCACGCTTCTTAAAATGAAGATAGCCAGGCATGGTGGCGCACGCCTTTAATTGCGTTCTGGAGGCAGAGGCAGATGGATCTTTGTGAGTTCTAGGCCAGCCTAGGGAAGGGCAGGAGTTGCAGTTTGCCTCATCTGTAGAATGCAAGTGCCAATGGCAAAGGCATTATGGGCTGTCCCCGTGGTTGCTGTAGGGACAGCATGTGAACGGTAGCTGGAGTCAGCCTTGTTGCTCCTCTTCACCTTGTTTTTTGCAACAAGGTCTTTCAGTAGGACCTGAGGCTCTCAGGTAGGTAGGCTGGCAAGGAGCCCCAGGGACCTGCCTGTCTCTGCCTCTCTAGTCTGGAATAGCAAGTGCGCACAAACATGGCCAAGCTTTTTGCATGCGTGCTGGGGATTGAACTCAGCACTTCGCTGACCGAGCTCTCTTTCCCGTTCTCCCCAGATTTTGCTCTTTCCTTGTAGGCTATTTAATTTCTTCAGGAGTCCTGTGTGTCAGGCATAATGTGAGGAATTGCATCCAGCTAGGGAGAGAGACACCAACTGCAGGCTAGTTACAGTTGTCGTGGATGCTTTGAGGGCACGTTCTTGCCGGGGCAGGCGTTTTGATGATGCAGCGACAATTAAGATGCGGCTTTCAGGCAGGGGGAGCATCTCATACTGAGCCCGTGTCACCAGACCGACTGAGTTCATGTCTCAGAACCAACCATGCAGCCCTCCAAACCAGTACCTACAGGACTGTCATACGCGTTAACTGACGTGATTTCTCCCTCACAGAGGTCAGGAAGGGAAGAAGCAGAATGGGGAGCTCCGTGGAGGGAACCCGGTAGGCCTCTGGTTTTAGATTTTCCTCTTTATTCCTCCTGGGCTGTTCCTGCTATATAGGTTGTGAAGTACATGCCTTGCACAACACACTGACAAGTCACTGGCAGCATTTTAAAAAAAGATTTATTAATTCTTACTTTGTACATGTGAGCGTTGGCCTGCATGTGTGCATGTGTGCCAGAT